TGTGTGTGTGTGTGTGTGTGTGTGTGTTTGTGTCAGCGGTGGGAAGCCAGTATCTGTACATTTGTAATTACACTCAGGAAATGTTTATTCATGTTTGATTGGGTGGGACCAGCCGGGACTCTGGGTACATTTAAACAAACTATTTCGACTTCCTGTTTAAAGTCTCGTTCAGGAGAAGCAGGGAGAGAAAAGAAAAAAAGAAAAAACATCTGGACGCACAGTGGTTTACGTAAGACCGAGTCCTGAGGCCTTGTCGACAAATTCAGGTCAAACTTCTCAATTAGACGTGAAGATGTAAGAATCCAAATCTGACGTGAACGCTGCAACGTTTACATCAACTCCGGAACCAAATTGACCCAGAAACCAAGGCTCACATGTTCCATTCTGACCGTTTATGAAAAAGAACGAAGACTCCAGATGATTGAAACCTGGATTCTCTGCAATGACCAGCAGAAGTCAGTTTCTACGCTGGGCCGCAATCTTCTGTCTTTTTGACCCGAACCTTGAGTGACGTTTTTTTATGTCCTGCCTTGACCTGAGCCTGTTTTCTCAGATTACAGCCACATGCAGAATAAAAAAAAATCACGTTTATAAAGCAACAGGCATGAAGGAACCTGAACCCGGATATCATTTCAGAATTTTTGTTGGAACCCAGTCAGGTTGTGACGGGGATGTTTGAGGTTTGAAGCGGACAACGTCGGGAGTTTTTTAAAAAAAAGCACAAAGTCATTAATTGATTATCAGAACATTCTCAGAAATTAATACACTTGAAATGCACTTCACAATTCAGCTGTGGCTCAAGATGTTGTACACCTGAAGCAGGAATCCATCGTTCAAGTATAGAGAACTGTTTTATTATTTATTACCTCGACCATGGAGGGAATGTTTCTGTGGTTTGTTCGCTCGTTTGTTGGATCACGTAGAAACTACTCAACCAATCACCACTAAGGGGTGGGGCATGATCAGAGGAAGACCCCATCAATTTTGAGTGGGGATCTGGATCCAGGAATGTGAGAAGAGAATATACAAAATCAATATTATGTCAACCTTATGTTTCTGTCTCAGATGAGCGTTGTGAAACAGATCAGTGTGATGACTCAGCACATCCTGTTCCTGTGTAGTCACCTCTGCTTTTATGTTTTTTTCTGAGGAAGAAAACGCACGTTTATGGGAAAGTTTTTAACGGCACAGTCATTCGGTAAAATACTATAAGTAGTACATTGGTAAATCCGTCAGTCGTGAGTCACATGTTTCTTCCTGAGGTTTGTGAGAATCTGTAAACTTCCACTAATCGCATTTAAAAACTGAGGCTGCAGATCTGTGAACATGTGACAACATATGATGCACATGCACGTATATACATACATGTGTACGGTTCATAACAGTGTACGTTCAGTGTTTGTGGTGAACCACCAACAGTTTCAACCCTGAGGCCTCACACAATGGCTCCGAGGGACGACTCCTGCTTCTTATATACAGAGCTGTTTATAACACACACACACACACACACACACACACACACACACACACACACACACACACACACA